TATATGATCCTGGTTGATAGCTTTCTCCGAATGCCTACCTGATGGGGAACATAGGAGAAAGACTGAGTAAATGAATAGGAATCTGCATGTGTAAATGCTTATTTATCRCACAAATTACATGTGACATTGAACACTATAAGTAAGTTATTTGCTGGTAAAACTTTAAGAGAAAATAGAAGTGAGAAAAAATATAACTTATTCTTTTGATATCTTCTCCAGTTTAACAAAGTTAAAAATAATGTAGGAATGCTGAAATTCTAGTAGATTTAATTAGCCTTATTAGCCCTACTGTGTGAACCAAATATGTTCTCCTATAGAGTTAGTCATCTGCCTTTGGTGCTGGTAGACATACACCTCTGTATTTTCAGAATAACCGAGGGAAAACTGGATCAAACCTGAAGGGATGCTTGGCATGAAAAAGACAATGATTGACAACACCCAATACTTTGTTATAACTTTTTTAATTCCTCTTCCAAAAATAGGGAACAGCTGAAAAGAAAATATAAGGATTGTGCATGCAAAGTGTTGGCAAAAGCATTGGTGATTTCTTCTTTCTAACATTTTCTTGTTTGTGTTTTGAGTCTTCAGAAATCATGAAAAGTATGAATTGTATTTTCTGATGCAATTCTTAAAGTAGAATATTTGCACCTACTGAAGAATTTAYCTTCTCTGCATTATTATATTAATTTTCCCCCCAGGGATATTTACAATTTAGAAATACGTGAAATTAATCTGAATAATTTTGAGTTAGTGAATTAGTGTCAGAGATCCTAATTAGTGGATAGACTTGCAAAGATTCCTCATTATTTTCTAGTTATCCTTACTTCTTAGCTTGTCTGAATAATTAATTCATTTTTACAACATAACCTGGATTTTATAATCTATCTTTCTTTTAGCCATATAATKACCTAATTTTACAGTAATTTTAAGTAGGTAAAGCCATCTTGATAAACATTATTCTGTTTATTAAAAAATGACGTTGCTTCAGCCAGAATCCCAATTATTTGAGATAAACTTTTCCGCTGAGAATCTTTCCATTTTGCTCATATAACAATATGCATAATAAACTAAWACAACATTTTGGATATGGTTACTTTTTGAATAATTTCTACTTGCCTGGCATCATGCTTTGCCTTTTCTTTGTGCTTTGCTTCTTGGCTTTTTCTTCTAGAAGAGAAGCTCCTCCTTTCATGATAAAAACTTGTTTGAAAAACTGTTACATCCAGTGAGAGGTTTTCTAGACTTCAGTGGAATTTGAGAGCTTCTCCTGCAGGGAGCGGAAGAGTGGGGTTGCAAAGGGAGGCTTGGCACAGAGCTCCTTTGGAAACTCTTCCAAGTTTTGTTTTTCCAAAATCACGGCAACACTACAAGCAATGAAACACCTTTTTTTCTGGCAAATTAAACATACAGRCTATGCAAAGGGAGACCTTGCAACTTCCACTAGCTGGGAAGAGACAGAGTAAAGTAATTACATTAAACCTCTAGAATAGGCCAATGMAAATGTTCACCAGGCAGTTTTGAAGATGATCAGTGAGACTGGTATGTGCTGCAGCATTTTCTGCAAAAGCAAGGGGAATCTCGCTGACATTACATTAATATAATTTGATGTACAGAAAATGTCCTGAAGAGTCAAAGGGAAAAAGCACTGGCTGCAAATCCCCGTAAAAAGCCAGAGTTCTCCTCCATCCTCTTGCACTTCCTCAGAAGAGTCATCTGATCAGTCCTGGTTTGGGATCTCACTCCAGGACCTGGAGGGCAGATATTGAAGTTAATTCTCCTGACTTTTCCATAGACTTTGAGTACCCCCCTTTGCCAACCCAGCTGTTGGCTGTACACTTGCAGGTAGGTGGTCTTTGCTCCTGCTGTTCTGCTTGGAGACAGCTAATGAGAAAGACAACGATGTGAATTTCGTCCACAGGAAGAAGAGGACAGGGCTAAGGCACTCACAAGTCCCTGTGACCTGGTAAAGCACTCTCYATTGCTGTTGTCACTTTCTCCAGACCTGAATGGCCCAAAAGTATAAACAAGAATATTACTTAATATGTTACTGTCAAATGTAACCTGTTAAGGTATCTAAACAAACATTTAACTCTCATATGACTGCAAAGTTACATGTAATGAAAACATAATTACCAAATTTCTAGATGTCCCATAGTTGGAGAAGTACTTATCTTCAAATACATTCCCAAAGCACATGACTAATTCATTGGATGTTGATAAAAGCTATTATTTTTATCTAAACAAAACTGATTTTTTCACTTTTTACTCTTCTTCACATTGTGTGTTTCTGACTTCTCTTCACTCTGTTCTCAAACTCACATATTTTCATATTGTGAAACTGTTGACTTACAGGAAAAATGAATACCTACATTGCTTCTCCCTCTTAATCTGATYCATTTATATTCTTCCAAATCCTCCTTTCAAATTATTGCATGTTGCTGTCTTTCTTGGTTTTTACACAAGAGGAGAAGCTTTAAGTCTAGTCACAGGTTTCATTTTAGAAAGCCAGTCTTAGGCATGTGCTGGAGGCTGCTGGACCTACKTCCAATCTCTACAGTTCAACGAAAGTCCTGTAAGTTGAAAATGTAACCTCCTTTCCAAAGTGAATGAGCACCAACTCCACATGATTTAAATATGACCTGAGTTTGCAGAGTACATTRCAGGATTTGGCAGCTGGTGATAAACAGATAACAGATTTACATTCAAGTTATTATGTGGGTACATTGAATTTACTCCTTTTAKAAAGTAGCTCCCATTTTTACTACCTGATAGAAGACACTGGTCAATCTCAAAAGTCATCTGGACACAAGCCTGGGCAACTGGCTCCAGGTGGCTCAGCTTGGGAATGTGGGGTTGGCCTCCTCCTGAAGTCCCTTCCCACCTCAGCCAACCTGGGGTTCTGTGAAAATGAGCACCTATCTCACAGTTTTGCTAAAATGTTCAGCCATGAAAGACCCTCTTTTAATCTCTGTAACACATCCATTGTTTGAAACACCCTGCAATTATTGGGTTTGTCACAGAAGTCTAATGTTGATTATATAGGAGCAATTGGGCACTTCCATATTGTCAGAGCTGTGTTCGATTATTTTACTTTATGAATTTTTAGGCAGAAGTCAATACCTTTATTTGAAATGCTACATTTAAACTAACTGGGACATATCCCTCCTCACACTGTGTAGTAACAATTTTTTATATTGTGGTGCTATATCTACTATGGATAATTTATCCTTCATAGATGGCTGCCCCTCTTTCTGTAAATGTTTTTACCTACAACCTTACCACGTATACATTGGTGCTGAAAGTACATGGCTAAGGCACTTATATAAATTTTTACTAACAGAAAAAATATTAGAACTAATTAAGTTTCAGTCTACTTACTGGACTGTTGACTACAAAGCTAAATAAATTTTGTAGCCATTACAATACTTTGCTGCCAATGTGAATATTTTATTTGTATTACTTTTTGACAAGWTACCATTCAGTCTGCTGCTGTGGCCTTCATGGGTGTTGATGTGGGTTGGCCAACGCATTGACCTGCATGTGAGCTGTGTGTAGACTAACAGTGAAATCGTGTGGCTGCCTAGGCCCATGGCAAAAACCTGCTTGGCTCCCATCGATAAGTGTTTCATTCACATGGTGAACGCTTAGGGAATCTCTAGTTGAAGTCATTAGTTTCTGCCTCCTTTGGGAATGGCCTAAGCAAAGCCAGGACATCCTTGTGGGAAAGCTATTSCCCCTTGTGGAAGATGGCAGGGGCATAGGGAACAGGTCCTGGTGTACCAAGGATGGGATTCAGCATAGCCCTAAGCAGTCTCCTGCTACRACTGGCTTCCTGTTTGCTCCAGCRGCAGAGCCATATCAAGAAGCTTGGCAGTGGAGAGCCACTCACGCTGCTGATGATGTGGCTGCTTGTCTTGGTCTTTGTGGTACAGCTGTTACCTGCCTACACATGGGATTGGCTGTTTCCATCTTGTGTCCATCAGAAACCATCCGTCATCACAGAAAGAGTAAGAACTGTGTTAGCGGTCATGGAGATGTAGACAGAACTCAGGGGACAGACTTGAAGCAATGTATTGTCCGTTGGACCTCAGAGCCTTCCAGTGACACTGGTGTGACAGTGCCATGGGTGTGGTATGGCAGCACCAAGCTCTGAGATGGTGTCACCAGAGAGGACCCTGTGGCCAGGGCCTGCCCTCATCCTCTCCTGGTCCAGGCSAAAGCACACGAGGCCAGGGCCGCCATGGCGCCAAGATGGGTGAACCCCACCCACAGGAGCACCGCCAATGAGAAGCCTTCCTGCAAGGCCTTGCCCTGCTCCATTGGCGAGCACGGATGGGTGGGGCCTCCAGGATGCAGCAGATGCAAATGAGCTCCGCCCATTATCCCATGCAGACGAGGGCAGGGWGGTCACGTGGCAACCTCGCCTGATAAGCACGGTGTCATCAGACTCCTCCCACTCAGGGGCGGTGTCACGGCTCTCGCGAGAGTGCTCAGTGCTGCCCCTTGGAGGTGTGAAGGGGCGCAGGTGAGCCCCGGGCTGGCCCCGCCCCCACCTGAGGCCCCGCCCTCAGCCCCGCCCATTTGGTTCAGGAGAACTAATGGGAGCGTTGGTCGAGTCTCTCCCYATTGGCTGTCCTCCTGGCATGCAAATAAGCCTTAGCGTCACTTCCTGTGCCAGGTCGAGCGCCATTTTCTCTTTCTGGGGGTCGATGCGGAGCGGGCGGTGGCGCGGGGGCGGCGAGGGCGGCGGGCTCTGAGGGAGGCGGGCGCGGGGAGAGGAGGGCGCGAGGCCCCGGCCATGCTACCGCTCCTCCGCGGCGTGCACTGAGCGCGGCCCCGGCGCCGGGCCGGGAGGCGGGGCC